TTTGGGCATTTTAAATTTCATGAAATCCTTGAAAAATTAAATCCCGGGATTTAATTTTTCAAGGATTTCAAGGATTTCATAAAATTTAAATACCGGAACTCCTGCAAAAGCAAACCCCCCCTCCCCACTCAGAGTACGGGAAGACCACGCGGATTTTAAAATTTATGAAATCCTTGAAATCCTTGAAAAATCAAATCCCGGGATTTAATTTTTCAAGGATTTCATAAAAATTTAAAATGCCCAAAAAATCCTTGAAATCCTTAAAATATTAAATCCCGGGATTTGATTTTTTTAAGGATTTCAAGGGTTTTTTGGGCATTTTAAATTTCATGAAATCCTTGAAAAATCAAATCCCGGGATTTAATTTTTCAAGGATTTCAAGGATTTCATAAATTTTAAAATCCGCGTGGTCTTCCCCGTACTCTGAGTGGGGAGGGGGGCGGTTTGCTTTTGCAGGAGTTCCGGTATTTAAATTTTATGAAATCCTTGAAATCCTTGAAAAATTAAATCCCGGGATTTGATTTTTCAAGGATTTCATAAAATTTAAAATGCCCAAAAAATCCTTGAAATCCTTAAAATATTAAATCCCGGGATTTGATTTTTTAAGGATTTCAAGGATTTTTTGGGCATTTTAAATTTCATGAAATCCTTGAAAATCAAATCTAGGGATTTCCCCGGCGGCAAAAGAGGCGTGCCAAATAGACCCTAAAGGTCCTACGTACATACATATATACATACACATATATCTGCAAACAACAATGCAAAAACAAGCTCACAGAGCTTTTGCAACAGATTCATATGCTTTGGAGCAAGCTTGCATGGCTTAAAAAAGGCGCGGGGGTCGGGGGGGGGCGCAGCACCCCCCACCCCCCATTTGCGAACACAATGATCGCATGCTGGGATTTTCGAAGGTTCATATGCATTGAAAGATGCTTGCACGGCTTAAAAAAGCGGGGGTTGGGGGCGCAGCCCCCCCCCCCCCCTTTCCAACACAATGATCGCATGCTGGGGTTTTCAAAAAAAACATATGCTTTGAAAGAAGCTCGCACGGCATACAAAAGCGGCGGGGTCGGGGGGGGCAGCCCCCCCCCCCCCACTTGCAAACACAATGATCGCATGCTGGGTTTGCAAAGGATCCATATGCTTTGAAACAAGCTTGCGCGGCTTAAAAGAGCGGGGGGGTTGGGGGGGGGGCGCAGCTCCCCCCCCCCCCACCATTTGCAAACACAATGATCGCATGCTGTGTTTTAGAAAAAGATCCATATGCTTTGAAAGAAGCTTGCATAGCTTAAAACAGCGGGGGGGGTTGCAAACACAATGATCGCATACTGGGTTTTTAAAGGATCCATATGCTTTGAAAGACGCTTGCACGGCTTAAACAAAGCGGGGGGTGGGGGGGGGCAGCGCCCCCCCCCCCCCCCCCCACTTGCAAACACAATGATCGCATGCTGGGTTTGCAAAGGATCCATATGCTTTGAAACAGCTTGCGCGGCTTAAAAGAGCGGGGGGGTTGGGGGGTGGGCGCAGCCCCCCCCCCCCCCCCCACCCATTTGCAAACACAATGATCGCATGCTGTGTTTTAAAAAGATCCAATGCTTTGAAAGAAGCTTGCATAGCTTAAAAAACAGCGGGGGGGGGGGGTTGGGGGGGGCGCAGCCCCCCCCATTTGCAAACACAATGATCGCATACTGGGTTTTTAAAGGATCCATATGCTTTGAAAGACGCTTGCACGGCTTAAACAAAGCGGGGGGTTGGGGGGGGCAAGCGCCCCCCCCCCCCCCCCATTTGCAAACACATGATCGCATGCTGGTTTTACAAAGATCCATAATGCATGAAGCAAGCTTGCATGGGCTAAAAAAGGCGGGGGGTTGGGGGGCGCGCAGCCCCCCCCCCCCCCCCCCCCATTTGCAAACACAATGATCGCATGCTGGGTTTTTCAAGATCCATATGCTTTGAAACAAGCTTGCACGGCTGAAAAAAGCGGGGGGGTTGGGGGGCGGGGGGGAAGCCCCCATTTGCAAACACAATGATCGCATGATGGGTGAAAAAGTCAATTATTCATATGATTTCAGGCAAGCTTGCACGGATTCAGCAAACCCCCCGTCCCCCAACTTGCCAACACAACGATAGCATGATTTGTTGTAAAAAGAATCACGCAGCCCCGCCGCCCATTTGCGAATAACACAACGCAAAAACAATGCTCGCATAGCTTGCACGGCAAACCCTGAGAACGACAGGACCAAAGGACCGCAGGACCGGAAGACCGGCAGACCAGTGGACCGCAGGACCAGAGGAACCGAGGGCCGGAGGACCACAGGACCATCAGACCTCAGGACCAGAAGATCAAAGGACTAAAGGACCAGAGGAGCACAGGACCAGAGAACCACAGGACCAGCGAACCACAGGACCAGAGGACCACAGGACCAGCCAGCGGAGGGTTTGTACAAGAGGTCCGCGGCCAGGGAGGTTGCAGGCCGGGTCTATTCGATTGTGAAGGCGGTTCCGTGTATAACGGCCCCTTCATTTGAGGGGTGCAAAAAGGGCCAGAATTGAGACACCATACAACCGGAAACCTCGGTGGACAACTGCGGCATGTTGCAAGCTTTTTTTGGGCCACTTTCCCTTTCGGGTCCGGTTGTTTTTTTTGGTTCCTAGGTCTGGCTCTCTCTTTTCCCCCCTATGCACCCCCTGAGGGCCTACTCTCTCTCAGTTCCTTGCGCGGAACACGCAACAGTGCGGAGCTCCCTTGTTTGCGCCCCGCACGCAGCCAGCTGTGTGCATGAGTGGGTAGGATTGATACCCTATGCACCCTACGCGCATACTGGCAAGGATTCAACTAAAGCGGGTGGGTTGGCAGGGGGGGAGGGGGGCCCCGCCCCCATTTGCGCCCGTATGACGGGTTTGGACAGTATTTAGGTTGCGAAGCAGCTCCTTTCGATGGCACCCTTTTATAACTAAACCTTAAACCCTGAACCCTAAACCCTACTCAAGCTTCACCTGGCAAAAAGCCCATGAACGAGCTCCCAAGGGTTGCGTCAGGGTTTAGGGTCTAGGGTTTAGGATTTAGGGTTTAGGGTCATCAAGGCTAGCAGAGCTGCGGGGGTCCTCCAGCAAGCCTAACATAGGGGCCTTAGTAAGTAGAATAGGGTTTTGGGGGGTCCTGGTCGTGCAATTGTAAAGCGACCAGAAGGAATACTAATAGTAATTATTCCGACCCCTTTCCGATACGTTCCTCAGGCTCACTACCCAGAGACTCCAATACTCCTTAACCAAGGAATATTCTTCAAAACAACACAAGGAAGTCTTTTAAGATATAATGAATATTGTTTGGGATGTTCCCCCTTATGCTAACAACCCCTCACAAGGGATGATAATAGCAGGTACGATAATCCCTATTCAGGACTGTTAGTACAAGGAGGAACATCCCAACCCTAAACCCTAACCTCCAAACCCTAAACCCTAAGCCCCCAGAAAAACTTTCCAAAATCAGGATCGCGCCATGACTTCGAGAACAGCCAGGATGATTAAGGGGTTTGGAGTCCCTGGGTACTACAAGGTTTCGGAAGGCCACTCGGGTCTTCGGGTCGGCTGCTAGACACTTAAAGGTGCATCAGTTGCCCCGCCGACTAGGCTTGGGTTTAGGGTTTAAGGTTTAGGATTCAAGGTTCAGGGTTCAGGGTTTAGGGTCTAGGGTCTAGGGCGTAGGGTCTAGGGTCTAGGGCCTTTCGTTTAGGGTTTAGGTCACAACCAGAAAGGTTGGGCTGTTCTTCCCACTTCTCTACTTTTGTTTGATTTTGCTGCCTCTTTCCAAACACACACACACACACACACACCGACACCCAGAACTTTTTTAGGCTTGAGGCGGAAGTGATTTTCGATTTGAAATTCGCTGTCGCCATTTGTACTTGAGCTGCAGGTGTGCACCCCACCCACCTGACCACACAACATGGACTCACCAAACTTGCAGTGGAGGTAACTTTTGATTCATTTCCTTTGCCCCTCTTCCAAACACCTTCACCTTGAGCCACCTGGATTTTTGGACACTTGGGACAGAAGTGGTTTTTTTGTTTCCATCTGCAGCGAAAACATGCAGCCGGACTCTTTGGTTCAATTCAAGGAGTTGAAATGTTCATGTTGCAGAAAGTTCTGATTCGTCGAGAACTAAGCGACAACCAATCAGGGAACCAACCACCACCAAGGCATCAAAGCAGAAATTTTTGGTCTGTCACTGGTCTTTTTTTTGTGTTCTTTCTTTGAAACCAACAAAGATGGCAATTCCAACACTGTGGTCTGCAACCTCTCAAGCAACAAGTTGACCTCCAAAATTTGAACCAAAAGGTGTCTCAAGACCACTTCGACAAACCCAAAACTTTGAACCACTTTGACAAACCCAAAATTTGAACCAAAGATGTCTCAACACCAACGAGTGCACCAAAAAAGTGTCTCAACCACTTTGGCAGAAAACCAAAAATTTGAACCAAGGGGCGTTTCAACACCAAGGGTGTCTCATGTTTTCAAGCCTGCCAAGAGAATTGCGACAGTTGGTGTGAACATTTCTGGGGATGTCGAAAAAACAGCAAACAACAAACCTGACAACAAACAACAGTTAAACAAATCTGTCCAAAAACCATCAAAAACAAGCTCTCACAACAAAAATATGTCAGATGTACTCCGGTGTTTCGCTCGCACTGATTCACATTGTGGTAAGACACTTTGCCTTTTCAAAACGGTTCGGTTTGGGCGTCGCGCGCAACATTGACGTCTCAGCAGTACGGTTGAACTCGTCTCGTCCTGCAGTTGATCTCTGTCCAAAACGGCACTGTCAGAGGCTTTCAAAAACGCTTGTTTCAAGTTGGCAGCAAAGCCAAGTCGCCTAGAGAGCAGCTGATGGCTGCTGTACAATGGAACCCAAACCCCAAAAACAATGTAAAGGGTAAAGCTGGGCTACCACGACCCTAAACCCTAAACCCTAAACACTAAACTTCTTGCCGTCCAGATGCCGGCAAAACCCCGAAAGCCCAGGCGGTTCCGCGGGCGAGTTCCCGGATCGCTGAGTGCCTCGACCTGGGAGAGTCTGACTTGTGTTGTTCACCCTTGAAGTACGAAGAGTTTAGGGTTTAAGGCTTATAGGGTTTAGGGTTTGGGGTTTAGGGTTTAGGGTTTAGGGTCTAGAGTTGGTCCCTTATCCCAACAGTCCTTCTTGGGGATTCTAGTACACCCCCCCCTATTCTCATCCCCATGAAGGACTGTGAGTATAAGGGGGAGCATCCCAAGATCTGACGCGCCAGAGCCACAAGAGGCCTCTCTTCCGAGTCGGTGTCACTCCAAGACCCCGTATTTAATTCAGGGGTGTAGGGTTTAGGGTTTAGGTTTTAGGGTCAGGAATAGTCTTTAAATTTTACTAAAATTCTGATATGGCCTCGAGAATATTCCTCAAATCAAGGGGTGTAAACCCTAAAATTCCTGATATGGCTTAGAGAACATTCCGTAAATTCAGGGGTATTGGAGTCTCTGATCCGCCGATCCCAAATTAAGCCAGGGGCCCCTCCACAGCTCGGGTCACTACGCGGTCCATGTGATACCAGAACAAGGGCAGAGAAGCAGCTGCACATTGCTTATACGTGAAGACATTCTTCGACAGCTGGTCAGCCAGACCTCAGACCCGACTCACCACGTGTGCACTCTTCTGGGCTTAGGGTTTATTTAGGGTTTAGGGTTTAGGGTTGGACAAGCCTGCCAAAGCAAGGTCACACAAGATGTGTGACTGCAAGCGCCTAGGCGCAGTCCAGCACCTCTGTGCGCACTCGTTCCTCAAAGCTTTCGATGGTGCCAAACCACATGACAATACAGCGAAAAACAACCTGTCGGTCACAGATCACCTCCTTGCCTTCGCAGGTATGGTCTGTCAACGTATTGCAGCACCAGCAGCAGCTTTCTGCGACGGTGAAATTTGCGAGCTCTGTCTCCAGGAGCTTCACAGACCGGTAGTACCCGCGCAGCGCTGCCACGCTCACATAAAACCCTACGAAGGCCAACAGAGCCATGGGCAGGAAGATCACTCCTATACCGAACTTGGAAACCTAGCAACGAAAAATGATCATTTTCTCTGTTTCTTAAGGAATTCAAGTACCCAAAAACTAAAAACATATTTCTTAATGAATTCTCAAGTACCCCAAAAACTAAAAACATATTTCCAAGGTATCCCTAAGACTCTTGCATGCCTCATGACAATCGGCGGGAGAAATGCGATGGCAAGCAGCACCACCGACAGGGCGATGGGCAGTGAGATGAAAAAAGGTCCCAGAACCTTTGGGTTTAGGGTTTAGGGTTTAGGGTTTAGGGTTTAGGGTTTAGGGTTTAGGGTTTAGGGTTTAGGGGCTTGAATGGGCTTGGGCCTCACCCTTTTTGGCACGGGACCCGCACAAGACAGGAGAAGGCCGTTGCCGCACCTAACTGCGGCGTACGGCCATGTGAGGCAGTCCCTAAACCCTAAACCCTAAACCCTAAACCCTAAACCCTAAACCTCGGCAATAAGCTGGACAACCAAGGACCCAAAGAGTCCAAGTACCCCTTAATTAAGGACAATATGCCTTCAATCATAAGTAACAAGAGGGATCCCAATATGATTTAAGGGTATATAAACCCTATAAACCCTAAATCCTAAATTCCTTCACTAAGGGGTTTCAAGGGCTCTTTGGGCAAGGAACTGTCGGTCGAATGGTGAGCTTAGCCGGCCGGTTGGCCCCGCGGCTATGCAGAAAACCAGCCATTTCAAACACCTGCACGCTGAAGGCGACATTTTTTCGTAACACAAGTCAGACTAAGGGTTTAGGGGTTTAGGGCCGTTCAGGGTTTAGGGTTTATAGGGGGGCCGTTCAGGGTTCAGGGTTCAGGGTTCAGGGTTTAGGGTTCAGGGTTCAGGGTTTCGTTTAAGGAACTCGGCTGCCACAGGAAACTCTCGCCAAGGCACACACCAGAGGCGACGAGTATACGACGGATCCCAGAGCACCTCGGCTGCGAAGGGATGCTCTTAGCGTTTTGGGTTTAGGGTTTAGGGTTTAGGGTTTAGGTTTAGGGTTCGCGGAGAGCCCAATACCACCCCCCTTATGAAGGAAAGTACCTTAAATCATGTTTCGGGCCCTTATTATGATTCAAGGTATATTCCTAAATTAAGGGGTGCTTGCGCTCTTTGCGAAGCAGGGGCGCGCCCAACAGAACCCGAAACCGAGCGGCAAGGAGCGAGTCGGAGACCTTAAGGAAGGCCCCCATGCTGACAAGAGCGGCCGTCTTCCTCTCCGAATCATCTTGATCTATACACCTGGGGTAGCACCGTAACCATATCATAATAAGGGTTGGCTACTGATAAGGGAACCTTGAACCCCAAAAATGGGACATGGGTACCACTGGGCTACCAAGACACAGAATGTCCAGAAAGATGCGTTGCCACGGCCGCCAAGAAATCAGAAAGAAGCAGTACAAGAAGAAGCCCACGACCGTGCAGACGCAGGAGTCTCGGCTGCACACTTTGGGTTTAGGGTGTAGGGTTTAGGGTTTAGGGTTTAGGGTTTAGGGTTTAGGGTTTAGGGTTTAGGGTAAGGTTTATGACTTAGGGTTGAAGGTTTAGGGCTTATGCTGATAAACCCACTCCCGCCCCAAATCCCGAGTCAAAGTAGAAGCCTCCGCTCTGGGCTTGATTCTGAGGTCACTAAGACTTGTCTATTTCTTCGTAGAAACCCTAAACCCTAAACCCTAAACCCTAAACCCTAAACCCTAAACCCTAAGCCCTAAGCCCTAAGCCCTAAGCCCTAAACCCTAAACCCTAAACCCTAAACCCTACGCTACCAAACCATGCTTCTGCCGTATTTAGGTGTAGATCTTGGTAGCCCAGTAACCGTATGTTAATAAGGGCACCTTTTTGGGGGCTTGGGTACTTGAACAGGGAACCCAGAACTCCTAACCAAAACACAAAATATAACGGGTACCACTGGGCTACCAAGGAATTCAACATTCAAGCCAGGAACCTTGTGGATATTTTTTCGGCGCCTGCTGAAACCGTGGGATTGGCAAGACGCGAAACCCGACAAGCAGGCACATGGCCTTAGTTGTCCAGTGTCCTAGGGGAACCCTAAACCCTAAACCCTAAACCCTAAACCCTGGGATTATAGTGGGATGGTTGAGACCACTAAAAGGTTAAAGGTTACCTACTCTACTACGAAGTAGCGAGCGAGCCGAGGGTGGCGAGCAGCGACGCGCAGAAAGAGTTGTTCAAGTAGATGGCCGTGCAGATCTTTTTCCACTGGCTTCCGTGCCAGCTATGACTCCAAAACCTTGGTTGCCCAGCAGCCATGTTAAAGTAAGCACATTATCATAAGGGTGCCCTTTTTGGGGTGTTGTCTTAACAAGTGAAGCCAAAAACCAAAACAAAAGTGCAACAGGGTACCATTGGGCTACCAAGAAACTCATCTAGACGCTCGGTGCGGAAGCTTGCGCGGCTTTGGCCGCGACGAGCCTTGCGACGAAAAGCGCGGCCCAGGCCAGTGAGGGCTTGCCATGCAGCCACCGCTTGAATGATGTCCTTCGGGATGGGCGCCCCAAAACCCTCCGAAAAATCTAGGGTTTAGGGTTTAGGGTTTAGGGTTTAGGGTTTAGGGTTTAGGGTGTAGGGTTTAGGGTTTAGGGTTTAATATGATCCTCTTAAACCCAAAAAGGGAAAATGTAAAATGTCCGAAGGCCTACCGGGCGTCGGGTCGCTCTGGTTCCATTCTGGAGATCACTCCGGCAACGAACTGCTCCGCAGCTTGCCGTACACACGCCACGGACTCGGAGTCTGATGATTCCATGGATTCCATAGAGGCGGGGGAGCTACACTCGGCCATAGGCCCTTTCACAACTCTGACACCTTCGTCAGAGCCCTTGATCTCACTGCCTGTGGCGGGCGGACGGGCGGGCCAACGTACCAGCACGCAACAGCGAGACCACCGGAACTCACGCCCTCTCCCTACACACAAACGACAACCCCTCCAACACAATAACTCATTTATGTAACATATGTATATATATACACAAAAAAATTAGAACACAGACTATAAATGATACATGTTGTGTTGCCAGCGTGATGTGCAACCCCCCCCCTGGCAAAGTGCAGCGGGCAAGTCTCCAGGCTCTTGACTCTGGCAACAGAAGCTGCACAGAACAGCGTTTTGGGGCTTAGGGTTTAGCCCGACGGGTTAAGTTAGGGTGGGTTTACATTGTAATTTAGAGGGTTTCGTGTTTTAGAGACCGGAAATATAATTGTTGTGAGTCGGTCTTTGGTGTGAAAGGTTGGAGTTGTGTTATTGCACAGAATCCTTTGTCATTCGAGAAAGAAGAATGCCCAAAGCGCCGAGGCAAAACCATGAAGCACCCACTGTAGACCTAAGCGGAGAATCGTGAAAGCCCGAACTCAAATAAACAAAGTTTCGACAGTAGCCCATTTTCCTATGATGCGGTTCCCGGTTGGCTGAAAGCCAAACACAACAGCATACGCGCCGCGCTGCAGAGGCAAGGCATGCGTGGCCTGAAACGAAAGGGGCTTTACTAGAGGTTGACACGCGTCAGCATCCCGAAGCAAGCCCTACTCACGCATTCGTTCCCCCCGAACAAAACCCACTCAGACCACCAGCAACTCCACCCGAAAAAAAACGCATTTCGCGCCGCGTGTAGGTAACACAGGAAGGCCATGAAACATGCCTCGATTCTACCATGCAGGCCACGCATGTCGTGACGTTGCACAAGACACACACGAAAACCATGCACCAAACGGGCCATCCCGTTTGGTATTTGCAACGCTGAGATCGGAACGTGTGACAACACAAAAAGCAAACAGCGGACATGTTGACCAATGTCTCGAAAACCTCACGCACGCCAAAAGTCTCAGCATGCACCGTGAACTGACCGTGAACAAGGAGGAACAGCGGCAGGGGACAAGATGCTGTTTTGACCAGAAAAACCATCCCCGCAACCAAACCCGCTAGGGGGTTCAGGGGTGGCGCGTCTCCCTCCACGAGCAACGAAAAGACGACCCCAACTGTAGTGAAGGTTCAGGGTTCAGGGTTCAGGGTTCAGGGTTCAGGGTTCAGGGTTCAGGGTTCAGGGTTCAGGGTTCAGGGTTCAGGGTTCAGGGTTCAGGTTTAGGGTTTAGGGTTTCGGGTTTAGGGTTTGGGGTGGCATCCATCCCTCCTGCTGACACCTATTTTGGCATCGGCGTATGAGAGTGGCCAGGCACTGCACAGTCACCCCCTTCCCCCTCCAAGTACCTCCTTTTATTGGGTCCTTAAGGGAAGGGGGTTCCTGGGAGTTCGGGTTCAGGATTCAGGGTTTAGGGTTTAGGGTAGGTACCTAAGGAAGCTCTGGGAGCCTTAGGGGATGGGCAGTACCAGGGAACCTTGGGTTACATCCCCACTTGACACACCCCTCCCTTAAGAACCCGACAACTCCTGCATCTCGACAGCTTGCATCAACCCCCCCTTTCTTTCTAAATTAGGGTTTAGGGTTTAGGGTTTAGGGTTTAGGGTTTAGGGTTTAGGGTTTAGGGTTTAGGGTTTAGGGTTTAGGGTTTAGGGTTTAGGGTTTAGGGTTTAGGTACCCTTGGGCATACCCTTAAAAGAACTTCAAGGGGCATGGTAAAATATTTCCTTGTGTTCTCCGTTTATAGGCGAAGGGGTATGTATATTGAGTTATAGATTTTCGACAGCCGAAAAATCCGTACAAACCTCGGCCCGAAAACCTTAAACCCAAAAACTAAAAACTCCCGAAAACCCTAAAAACCCTCAGACCCCAACACCCTGCCACCCCAAAACCCTACAACCCTACAACCCTACAACCCTACAACCCTAAAACCCTAAAACCCGAAAACCCGAAAACCCTAAAACCCTAAAACCCTAAATACCCCAAAACCCTGAAACCTGCAGCCTTAAAAACCCTACCCTTTTGCAGCTGAGCCTCTTTCAACCCAACCCCAAACTCCTAAACCCTACGAGGCATGCAGTGCAGCGCGCCACTCTGGGAACCTCCTTGCCTGTTCTTTTTTTTGTGGGAGTGAGGGGGGGGGGGGGGATTTGGGGCTCAGGATTGAGGGTTAGGGAGGGAGACCCGTAGGACATGTAGAGGCTCAAGGCAAAAGGCCCTCAACCCTAAACCCCAAACCCCCTGAAGTGCACAAGCCCTAAACCCTAAACCCTAAACTCCAAACCCGAAACCCTAAACCCTAAACCCCAAACCCTAAACCCCAAACCCTGGGCCCTTAACCCCTGAAAGCTCTTCGAGCCTGGGCCCAGCTACGGAGCCGCTTGTTGGCCTCAGCACCACCCGGGCTCGTGTGCCGAGCTAGGAAGTCAGGGTCGTTGGGGTTTAGGGTTTAGGGTTGAGGGTTGAGGGTTTAGGGTTTAGGGTTTGGGGTTTCGGGTTTCGGGTGTTCAGGGTTTAGGGTTCGGGCGTTTACGGTTTAAGGTTTAGGGTGTTTGGGGTTCAGGATTTAAGCTTTCTTGCCGCCTAGCTGACACCATCCACAGGGTCTTGGGGTGTTCTGTTTCCATGCGGTCGCAAAGCCTTGGAGTCTACAGGGTGAACTCTTTAGGGTTTAGGGTTTAGGGTTTAGGGTTTAGGGTTTAGGGTTTAGGGTTTAGGGTTTAGGGTTTAGGGTTTAGGGTTTAGGGTTTAGGGTTTAGGTTTTTTTTTAAGGGTTTAGGGTTTCGGGTGTTTAGGGTTTAGGGTTCGGGCGTTTACGGTTTAAAGTTTAGGGTGTTAGGGGTTCAGGATTTAAACTTTCTTGCCGCCTAGCTGACACCATCCACAGGGTTTTGGGGTGTTCTGTTTCCATGCGGTCGCAAAGCCTTGGAGTCTACAGGGTGAACTCTTTAGGGTTTAGGGTTTAGGGTTTAGGGTTTAGCGTTTAGGGTTTAGGGTTTGCCCTCCCCCCCCCGTCCGCCGGACCCCACAAACCTTCAGGTCAAAAGTGGGATCGAGGGCAAACCCAGGGTTTAGTTTAGGGTCAATCAGAGTTTAGGGTTTAGGGAGTTTGGGGTTTAGGGAGATTGGGGAGGAGTGCTGCAAGATGTGACGAAGCTTCGAACCAAAAACCGCAAGCCAAAAACTCAAAACAGCCACAACAAGGTCGGGCTTGGGGCTTTAGACTTTAGGACTTTAGGGCTTCAAGGCTTCAGGGCTTTAGGGCTTTAGGGCCTTAGGGCGTTGGGGCTTCAGGGCTTTAGCGCTTTAGGGCTTAGGGCTTAGGATGTAAGGGGGTTTGGTTCACATTAACGTCCCGGCATGTCCCTGTGTGGGCCAAGCTCCCCACTCCATACTCCTCTTCCTGAGCACAGGAGCACAGCGATCTAAGCCCTAAACCCTACACCCGCGAAGAAGAATTTAGAGCGTAGTTCGGCCCGCCCCTTCGGTGAACTCCAGCTTGCAGGCTTTGGGGAGTGGGGTTCAAGCTTTCCGCAGGAGTGTCTCACGTCGACTGTTCTGGGGCGGCGGGGGGGGGGGGGGGGGGGGGGGGGGGGGGGTGGATTTTTCACCGTGTCCAACATTACCTTGGGACATTCCTAAGGATCAGGGAAACACCTTTAGGCGAGTTACCCCTTTACTTAACCCCTGTTCCCCTAGGAAGAAAAAAGGATCCTTATTGTTCATATATAAGAAAGCCCATAACCCAAAAAGCAAAAAGGATCCCTAACACTGACCGAGTTTAGGTTTTCCCCAACCGAGAGGGAGATCTTTGTGCAATGCAGGCCGCACCGGCGTCGCCCAAGCAGGGTGTGAGCACAACAAATTCCCTACTTGCGCCCCTGAAGGGAGTCCCACGAGGCAGCATACCACTTCAGAATTTTCGGGCAAGACTCCCGAGCCACACTTCTTCTGTGCAACCCTCTGTCCAAAGATTATGGCCACGTGCGACCTCACATGGCGATCTCTCACTCTACGCCCCTCCAAGAGGCCAAGGGCCTCAAGGCCCAAGGAGCATCCCGCACCCTGAGCCCTGATCCCTCAACTCCAAACCATCCCTGAACCCCAAAATAACCCCACATCCCCCAAGACACACCCCAGAAACCCCGCATCCTTATACCCTCTTGCGTTCCTAAACCCTAAACCCTAAACCCTAAACCCTAAACCCTAAACCCTAAACCCTAAACCCTGAACCCTGAACCCTGAACCCTGAACCCTGAACCCTGAACCCTAAACCCTAAACCCTAAACCCTAAACCCTGAACCCTGAACCCTAAGCCTTCGAAAAAGCCCGCCCCAGCGCCTCATCCCTGTGGTGCTTCCGGGCCCCGAACACTTCCTCCTGCTCCGCTGGAAGGGCTTTGGGGTTTAGGGTTTTAGAGTTTAGGGTTTAGGGTTTAGGGTTTAGGGAAGATTTGTGGGTTCCAGGGTTTCAGGAGTCCGGTGCAGGGTTGTTTCGCTGCAGGGGTTTAGGGCTTAGGGGATGTTAGCGGGATTTTGGAGCACAAGGGCTAAGGAGGAGGCGTCTCTGGGTTGCTGTGAAGGAAATGAAATTAGGCTACCCGATTATGGGGATATCAAAATAACAGAATTAGTATCCTTAGGATGGCGTCCTCAACTATGACCCTGTCTTTGTGCGCAGCAGAGCATCATGGAACATCACGCGCCCACGCCACCAACGCCGCCAACAACGGCCTGACGACACTGCACACGAACTGGCCGAGACCGACATTAGGGGCCCAAAACACCACATAAAACATAAGGATCCTACAAACAGTGTTTTTCGGAATCCCCCTTATGTTCACGTGGTTTTTTGACATGGAGCTTGGGCTCAGGCCAGGCGTGCCAACGAAACGCGCGACAGC